ATTCATTAGGGCGGTCCATTATTTTATTTGAAAATTTCAAAATAAATGTTTAGCATACATTTGGGCGCAATAGCAAAGACTGCCGGAGTTTATGGCATAAATTGTAATGTTTTAAACATTTTATGTTTTTCATACACTTGGAAAGTATTGTTGAAGTGAAATGCTTTGGTATGAATATTTTTTGAATTTGTCAGTGTCTTAGCGGTTCGATAAGCTTGCTTAGTAGCAGGCTAAGCTAGTATCTTCTCTTCCCTTCCTACATCATAAATCCAATATCACGTTGAGGAGTTGATTTTTGGAGTTCAAATATGTTTAGAAATCAGTAAGAAGTGATCGTTTGCTGTTGCTAAAAAAGCAAATATAGCTTGGTGGTGCTCTTAAATTGCGCTCAGAGTGCTTAAATAAAACTAAGCGTGATACCTTGTAGCCCCTACATCAGCTTAGAGCGACAAAAACTATTAAGTATGACCTGTAAATATCCTACGTCCCATTCAAATATCAGTAAAGCTCCTTACATTGCTTGACTTTAAACTAATCATAAACTAAAATATATTTAAGTAAGCCGGCATGAGCAGACTTTGCAAATTTGTGTAATAACTTAACAGAAACATCGAATAGAACGAGGTATGAGAAAAATTCAGAAGTGGAATATCTTAATGCCGTCGTTTGGAAAATAGTTTAGAGCAACTATAATGACCAAATGTGACTCTACAATATATATCTGCGAATGCTCAAATGTTTGAAAATCAAAGTGGTAATTTAACGGGAGTATTGAATAGCACCAGGTATAAGAAAAAATTCAGAAGTGGAATATCTTAATGCCGTCAATCTACAATACAAGCTGCTTAGATCGACAAATCTTATTGGTAAATAACTATGAAGTATTCCAAAGCTCTCCAGATAGCTTGGCTTCAATGTATACTTGATCTCCATTTAATCAACGAAAGCACAGCTTACATGTATATGCCAGTAGAGTTTAGAGTACATACTAACTTTACCAAAGCAGTAGCACGAGATATAAGAAAAAATCAGTATTGGAATACCTTAATGTATGATAAGTAGCATACATATATGTATGCTCGTAAATACAAACATATGTATGCATGTATACACGTACTCCGTGTGACTGTAAAAAAATATGCCCATCGCACCCCATGAATTCCTGCCACGGTCAAAGAATAAACAGAAGTGGTGGCAAGGAAATACATAAGAGAACGTTAAAGAGAGCGAGAGAGTAAGAGTCAAACGAAAAAAAAAATTGAAAGTGTGCGCAAAATCGTAACGAATGTTAAAATTATTCGTATACAGGGTGTTTTGAGTAGGTTACAGACGCGCTGACGATTGAATATTTCAAGGTTTGTTTAAAGTTTTCAACAATGCGACGGCGCAGCACGTTCACACAGGTGATATGATGTACGAAAAGCAGTGCGAGTTAAGTCCAAAAGTACATACATACATATGTTTATGTAAAACTTAGTACATAAATATGTGCGTATGTATTTATGAACAGAGAGATAAATGAAAACAATAACAGTACTGAATCATAAAATCAACATCAATTAATTGCAAATATTGAACGTATTTATGTAGGTACTTTTATATGTACATACATACATATGTATTTTTTTTTTTAAATTAAAAAGCAGCTTCTGTGGCTTACCGCCGTTGGATGAATGATAACGTAATGACGAAACGATACAATTAAATTGTATTCCAGCCTCAGTTAGTGCAGCTGAATGTAATATACGTACCTACAAACATACATACATACATCGTCGTCCAGCGGTTAGCGGCCAGCCAATGTTGCTTAGTTCGGACCACCCTTGCGCATACCTCCCTTCCTACAATTTAGTATTCGCTCTTATGAGCTCTAAACGTTCACCGCTCTCAGCATATCTCTCTGCATCTCCGGAAACTAGCAAAAACCACTAGCTGCTACTGCTGCTGCTTTTAGTTTTAGTTGTGTTTTCATTTTACGACGAACCGACCGACCGACCGCCCACCCACCCTGCTGCACTTAAGCGGCGACAAAGCGTTCAATGGTCGCCGCTTTATATACCCATACATACACATACACACCCAGTTATATCAATATGTGCATATACATACATACATACATATTTATTATGTAGTAAGTACGTATGTATGTATGAAAGTACGCCAGCTCGCTTGGAGAGCTAGCTGGTCGGGCTTGGGCTACAGTTTTGTGTGCTGTTTTCAGTGTTTCGTTTGTTTTGCTGCAAGTTGCTTGTTTACTTGCTTTTGCCTATTTTCACCTCCGCACCTCAACATCGGTACCGGTCAACGCCATACCATGGAATCGACATCAACAACATTGGTGTGACACTCGTCAGAGGATGTGTCGTTGGCGTAGATAGGTATATGTATAAGTTAACGAATTCTGTATTCGTATTAAATAAAAAAAATATTTTTTATTTCTGGTCTTACGACCTTTTATTAACGAAGTCAAAACAAGAATTACTTAAACAATCTAAAATTTGCTAATTTATAACTTATGTGCTAACTTATGGCTCTGCTCTGGTTTAGAAGATTCCAGGAATTCAGCCCGCTTGCAATACACGTGGCGGAAATGCTGAGCATTGTAAAATAATCGTCGTGGTGTTGTTGTTGTGAAATGATGGTTTGAGCGGAAATCAGGTAGACCTGGCGTTAGCATTTATTATGGTGTGAAATCATAAGTTCATTTAATTTGTCAATTTGTTACAACGTAACTTATATATACACGAATGTATGTTGGCGAACGAGCGAACGCACAGATATATATATATGTTTGTGTGTGTGTGTTCATTATGGTATATAGAAACTTTGTTCTTGTGCGCGTTCAGCAAAAAATCCAATATATTGTACGTACATATGTATGTATTCATGTGTTGTATGTACATATATATATATACATACAGAGTGACAGTGGGTAGTTGGCGTGGATACATACATATTTACAAAAGTTAGCTTACACTCGATTGCGTTTTCGCATATACACTCCTACAGGCATATGTTTATGTATGTGCATACATACCTACATGGCGATTGTTTTGTGCTCTTTCGAGGAGGAAGACTTGTGGAAAAGGAAAGCATGAATATAGAACATAACAGCCACTGTGTCTAAAATCAGCGGATTTCAGTTTTCTTTTATATTTGCCTCCCCTACATTCTATTTTGCCCCTGGTTTGTTGTATATTTTTTATTTTGTTTTCTTACGTTGGATTTCGTTTTTGTTTTCTCATTCGATTTTCGCCTACTTCACTTGTTTGCAATACTCACAGATACATTAGTAATGTTACAGTGCTGCGCAAAATATATGCATTTGAAGCAAAATGTTTATATTGTTTGACATTTTGATGGAATGTCAAGATGTACTGATAACATTGATCTCACTTCAAGTTAAAAGAAAATATAAGTCGCCGTAGTCGTCTCCAAACTCTGCGAAAAGTCAAACTACTTGACGAGGTGCGCTCACTCGGAATACCTGAGGCTTACTTCCTATAAAGCGTTAAAAAACTATGCAACAGTGCGACGAGACTAACCCAAGTTTACCTATTGATATAGACGAACTAAGTTCGCCGAAAAAGTGAACTTCGCCGTTTATATTTCTAGACTCAAACTAGACTTAAACTAGAGGTGCGGCAGAGTGGCAGAAGGAGTACCAGCTCGACTTGTACAATATGTATGAGCGATAGTAAATAGTCCCAGAACACTTTGTGCACCATTTGCTCAATAAAACTGCCCTCAGGCATATCATGAAGAGAGTGCTTAACCTTTTGATCAGCGCCATATCAGCGAACCAATTGTCAGCAGCCCTGCGGTGTAAGCGCTTAAGAATTTTACTGCGGTAAGGCATAGGATAAGCAAGAGGCGAGTAAAATCAAAAAGCTCCTGCAAGGTTCGGATCTTAAAACCGGAACGACTCAGATTTTTATGCGGCCAAGGACTGTCACTGCCGCAATATTCCTCAAATAGTAATTTGGCGAATGTTTTTGCGGCTGCAGAAACACCAACAACAACAACAACCAATTGTCAGGACGCTCTACCGACAGTCCCTAAATGTCATATAATTAAAAGCGTGTCAACACCTTGAGTTACCTAATGAGATGCAAGTCTCTCTACTTATTTAACACCCCCTTTCCTGGCAAAAATCCCCCCCCCCCCCCATTAGATTAACTTCTTAGGTCTATAAATTTTTCTGTAGCTTAATATCAGTCAGACTGACACTCATTCTTTATAAAAACGTTACTTCCATGGATATTCTCAAAATATTTCTATACAGAAATTTTCAATCAAGGATTATATATATATGAACCGATTTTTCGGTCGAGCTCCTCCTCCAATTTGTGGTTTTTCGTCTTAATGTTTTTCCAACAAAATGGAGGGACCTACGATTTATACTAAGCCGTCTCTGAACGTCAGATGTTTTTTTTTTATGAGGAGCTTTATTTCATATCAGAAATACATTCGGTGGGGTTGACATTCTTTGCCGACGGAAGACCGCAATTAGAAAATTTAATTGTTTATTTAAAATTAATTTTCTATAACTATTGGATGATGGCGGCACCGAGATATAAACCCTTCCGAATGCCATCAAGGATTAATCCAACAAAAAAAATTCTTTAAATGATGTTTTTTATGTAAACCATATACATTTTCATTAATTTTATCTACACGGTATTTATATTGGACGGTTTTCTAGGTTCGATGCTCAAATATCGAAAGGTTGCCGCTCCGTAGTAAGTCGGAATGGAATGCGCTTTATTTGTTGATAATCGATAAAATGTAGAAAATTTTAATTTCAACAAAGTCTGCTTTTCGGCGCAAAACGCATATTTTCATCAGAACGTGAAATCAAACTTTTATTTAAAATATAAACAGCGTATGCATATATGTTGAACAACACTGTATTTGTTTATAAATAACATGTATAGTACTTAAGCACATAAGATATATAAAACTATATGTATGTATTTAAAATGTACATAAACACCTACCAACTGAAAGACCAATCTCCTCGGCGATCTGCGACCAAACCTTCATTTTCACTTCGACATTTTTATAATCAGGATTGTGTGTATTATAAACAACATCATACTTTTTAACAATATCAATGAATTCGGTTGTATTATCGGACGTTGTTGACGATTCACTAGCGCCGCGCGGTGTCTTCATTTTATGTGATTTTTCTTTCTATATGCTTGGGTGCAATTAATAATTAGTTTTAATATTTTTTGTTGTTTACTTTAATTATCTGTATTTATTGCACTTGCAAGTATGCATGCAATCGGTTTTTTCGTTTTTGTTTTGATTATCTTAAACGTCGCGTCGTTGTTGTTATCTTTAATTACCAACGAATTTTTCATTCACAACTTGACATTTGTTGATTGTTCGCTCTGTGTGTGGTGTCTGTGCGGTTGTTTTGTTTATCGCAAAATTTATCGATTGAAGAGTGCAGCTGTGATTTAGTGCCGCTTGATGATGATGAAATATTTTTGATATATTTAATATGGTGTTTTTTTTTCTTTATATTTTTTTTAGTGATTTTGTTAATTAAATTTTTTTTCTGTGACACGCATAAGATTAAACTTTGTTTATATGCTTATATATGTATATATTCGTATGCTCGCACAGATAATTATTGCCAATGTACGCGTTTTGCGTGCTTTTTGTTGTTTGTTTGTTTGTTTGTTTGAAATTAGACGTTATTAACGTATATACGCACTTCAAATAAGTCTGTATGTATTCACTCGTGTGTTTAAATGCCTGTATCTCTACGCTTTGCGCTCACAGTTGGATTTTGATGATGGTCTTCACGGCACACGCACGCAGCTACCACAATCAGTCAGCCAGCCAGCGAGTATCGATTGCTCGTTGGTGGCAAGCCAGCAGCAGCTCAGCTTGGTAAACTGCTGCGAGTAGTTAGTACTCGTATGAGTTGACGGACAATGACTGGTAAAGGCAACGGCAATGGCAACGACGACGGCCGGGCTTCATGCACGGCGTATTGCCATAACAGTGCGCTGATGATTATATGAACCCAAGTGAGTGTAGTGAAGGAAAAAATTTGCTGCTGTGATGAGGCAGTTGGATACATACATATATATATATGTATGTATGTATTTATATAGCAGCACAATAACAATAACAACAGCAAAAAAGTAGTGGATCAGCGCTTTCAATAGTGTTCAGTTGTTAGTGTATTTACATATGCACATGCATACATACATACGTACGTATGTACATAAATATGTACATATAAAGTGTCTATACGTAGTTATATATTAACGCCAAACGATCTGTGGGGATATGCATTTACTATATGTATACATCAAAGTGTGTATGTAAGCAAATCACTGATTTTTTATTATCACTGCCACAGATATACATGCATACATATTATACATGCATACACATGTACTTATGTACATGCAAAAAAGTTTGTTCTGTAAAATAAGCACAATATATGTATGTTGGTTTATATGTACGTAGGTGCAACTAGGCTCCGTATACACACACAATCTATATGTACGTATATATATGTTCGGTTTTGCTAGGCGCCGCTCCCGTTTCTATATGTATGTATGTACATACATATTACTTTACACCACACCGCACTTGCTGAGTGACACTGCTACTACTACCAGCGGCCTGAATACTGAACGTTGTGCGAATTTATCCGTACCGATGCGACCGCTCCGACAAAAGTTGGACACTTGAATGAACTGAGCGCACGTACAACCACCGCGCAACGGTTCGACAGATACGAGCAGAGTTGAGATTCAGGCACACAACAGCAAGCAGAAGGCAGCGCAGTGAACAAGCAGTTAACAAAAAATAAAAAAAAAATATACTAAAACAGCAACAACAACGGCGGCGGCAGCAGCGGCGGTGGCAGCAACGACAGCGTTTATAGAAGGCATGCAGTCAGAGTATTAACAGCACCAACAACAATGATGAGCGCGCGAGGAACTATGCCAACCAGTGACGACGATGACGACAACGACAACGACAAAAAGGCGGCCGCTAACAACAACCACAACCACACGCCACACCATGCCATTGCCATGAATCGACATCATCATCTTCATGAGCCGCCAGCGCCAACACTAGAGGTACCAACACCACCACCATCACTATCGTCGACAATAACAGCGCCATTGAAGTAGCGGCGGCAGCGCGAGGCTACGCGACAGTAGTGGCAGCGAGGTGGTTGAAGTGGAAGGCGGATAAAAGCAGGCTAAAGACTGTCAGCCAAAGAGGAAGGAGGGAAGTAGCGATTGTGGCGCATTCCTACAAGAGAAAAACCAACAATAACAAGAATGGCTATGGTGGGGCTGTAGAGCAGCCAACATACATACTGGCAGTGGCAGTCATCAGCGTGTAGTGAGGATGTTGATGATGGAAAAGAAGCGGTTTATGATGATTACGATAATGACGGCGATGCTGATGATGACGGTTGTGTTGGTTGGACGGTAGTAGCAATAGCCTTCGCAAATGGCTCTGTTAAGACGTTGGTTGTACAAACCATGACCACTGATATTACGCTGACGGTTCGAATGCAGTAGAGTACGAGCTGCACTTTGCAAGGACTTGGCACTGTAACAAAAATGTAGTGATATGAAGGCAAGAATACGCGATCACTAAAGCGACAGTAGGGGATTATATGCGTGCTATGGGGTTTGTAAGACGCACGATCTTTGCTTTTCCTTTGTTGTTGTTGTAACCGCAAAGCATTACGTACATACATACATATCTCTTGCAGAGGCCTACTAGAGTATTGTGGTACATTCTCATACATGCTTGAACCCATGTCCATCCAATATAAAGGACCGATTGCCTTGAGAACGCTTGGATATTGGTCGTCTCCTAAGGCTAACCGCGCTGCTTAACCTCAGTGAGGACTAAAGCGCATTTATGTGTTTTCAGTTTTATGTCTATAGATGCATACATACAATTGTATACATATATCTACTGCCACAAATAATGTCGTTGAGAACAAACAACTACAGCGCTGATATTCCATTCAGTACCTACACACAAATATACGCGTTGAACAACCTTACTGCGACTCTACATATTGATTGCGTCCGCCTCCACATGAATATAAGACACAGCTTTCGCACACCCAACCAACTAGCATGGCCGCCCGGCAGCCGTGCGACCGTTCACAAGCTGAGCATGCACTCACCGTACGTTCATCAAAGAAAACAACGAAGGCGCAGCAAGCAACGACGATGGCGTTGACGTTGACGTGAAACGACCGTCAAAGCAAATCATGCTGCACCATCGAGCCCCGCCGCACAACAGGCTCCATTGAATTCAACTGCAAATCCGACGGACCGTCGACGACCGAAACTCGCGCGAGCACTGTTGCCTCTGCTGCTTTTCTGCGCCTTGCCATATGCACTCCCTTTAATGCGTGCTGGTGGTGGTGGTGGTGGTGGTTGTTTGTTGGTTGTGCGCTAGCTAAAGGCAACGAGGCGCACCGCAGACACACTGCCAAAGCGACGGGGCGACAAGCAAAGCAAGTAAATAGAGAGACCAGCGCAAAAGCAGGCTGCGGTGGACTCGCAAGCCCCATCTTGTGTATATATGTACGTGCGTATGTATGCATGTAGTTGTCTCCACGTGCCTGCCGCCCGCTGTAGTTGGCCGCAGGCCGACGTAGCAGCAACAGCAGCAGCAGTAAAGCGCACGAGCGCGCAATGAGCATACAAATAGACGTATATTCGAGCGTAAATACATATGTATGTGCGAACGTGTGTTTAGAGTATGTATGAATATTTCAGTATGTTTGTTCGTATATACTATGAATGTAAATGTCATGTATACACATTCGCTCGCATCGCATTCGCGCAAACTTCGCTTCGTTGCTGTTGTTATTGCTTTTGTTTTCGTAGTCGTCGTCCGCGTTGTCGTTGTCGTTGTCGTCGTCATCGTCATCATCATCGTCAAACGTCCCCCCATCACACATAGTACCATCAACGCCAGCGCGCTACACTTTTCCACTCTTTTGTTGTGTTCTGCGCTCGCCCTCACTTCACTCCACGTTGCGCGTCACGCCACAATAGCACAGCACGGCACGGCACGCTAAGCCATTCCACCACCACCACCATCATCACCAACGCCACTATCACCTCACTCCACTGTCCGCCTTCTTTAGCACATTACATATCCCACTGTACACACACATACATGCATACACATATACGACTAGCTCTAACCGCCAAACCGAGCCGCGTTTGTGCATTTGCCATGATGGGTATGAGAGTGCATTTGGATATACATACATACATACATACGTACATACGTACGCGCTTATATTTTTACTCTTGTCTTGTGTGCGCGCCGCCTTTTGCTTCCTACAGCCTGCCGCCCGACTAACGACTAACGACCAACGACCAGCCAGGCAACCAACGATATGTATGTTCACATATATATATATATTTATATATGAATGTATGTACATAGTGCCGGCCAAACGACCAACTGAGCGACCCTCCAATCGACCGACCAAACGACTGCTGGTTGAACTCAACTCTTCGTTGTCCGCAACGTCGTGCCAGCTAGGCAGCGGCAGGCGAGCTGGCAAGGAGGTTAGGCAGCTTTTACTGCTTCGACAACGGTAATGGCAATGATTGTGGTGATGTCGATGGCGATGGCGATGCCTTTAACTCTGGCTGGCTGCCGTTGCTACTACAGACAGTTGCTGTGTTGTTGCCACCGACGTACGTTCGTGCAATTGTCGGTGTACACGTCCATATGTTTGGTCAAGTAGCACGTCAGGCAGTGCGCCGATTCGCGACACACGACAAAGCACTGGAGTCTATTGTATCGCTTTGTTATTTTCTCTCCTCCGCAAGCAGTACATCGGCGTCCGTCTTCATCAGTAAATGGCACAATATTGTCGTCGCACGATAGCTTGCTTGATAGTATTGAGCGTTATAGTCATCGCAACGAGGACGACGTAAGTTTTACTTAGCTACCGCTTAGCTGCAAATGGTAACGTCCGACGGTAGCCGGGTGTGCGAAGTGTTGTTTTTTTTTTCAAAGAGCGTTGACCTTATTTCGGGTATTGAATTTGCTCTCGATCCTTTTTGCGATCATGATTTCGACGCAATCTCATTTGCGGTTACTTTTCGAAGAGCAAAGCGGTCGGCTACAGTTAAGTTTAGTAGCTGCGAGTCGGAAGATTTCCTTTGTTGATGTTCCATACTCACAGAGCTATAGGGGTGATAGCGCAATACCCTGTACTCTTCAGTCAGGCACATCACTCACTAGCAGAAATTCTTAAGACTTGCATTCAAGATCTTTTTTGTCTTCGTCTGCAGAAGAGACTCCAGCCAAAGAAGACGAGCAGCATAGACTCAGCTGACCTTTTTCTACTGGGATAGGGGCTATTCCAAATTAATCGTTTAACCCCGCAGGTTTGATCAGTCTAAGTCGCCGAGGTCATCTAATGGTAGGTCCAGGAAACGAGCTGTTTCGACGGGGTTGGACCAAAGAGAGAGGGGGGTTAGATGAGTCCCTCTCAAGCATGTGAAGAAGTGGTTAGTGTCGTGCGGAGACTCTCCACATTCAGGGCATACGTTGGGTATGCTGGGGTCTAGTCTGGATAAGTAGGAGTTTAACCTGCTACCATATCCATACTTGAGTTGTGTCAGGGTCACGCGGGTCTCTCGAGGCAGCTCGAGCTCGTTGCTATAGGTGGTGGTATTTCTCCGAGTACGCCATTCACTGGAAGGGAGTCCTTGAAGGTATTGACTGACTCCTGGTGAATGGCGTTCAGTGCTTCGTTTTAAAGCATTTACGCCTGCTGTGGACTCTTCGTTGCTCTTGGATGATCGCCGTTCTTCTGTCATGGTATGGCTTGCTGTTCTAGAATATTCATTATTCGGAAGTTATCATTCTTCTATCTAGTAATCTAATCGTTCGGCCTTTCTATAGCTATTATATTGCCTTGTGGTAAGCGGTTCGCTGACTTCTTAGCTTGGCTGCCCAAATGGTAGATCGAATTGAGTCCTCGAGGTACGCGTAACCCTCCGCGGCCGTATAGTGCTTCCGCTCAAATTTTACTATATTAGTCCAATCTCATTGTAGTGTTTCTCACCTCCAGCTCATCCATCCAAACTTTGTATATAAGCAACATTTCTTTAAACAACATTTGAAACGTCTGTTGACTGTTTCTCTTCCGTCACCTCTTTCGCCATCATGGAACACAAATTAAATGATCAAGAGTTTCTCTTCCAGTGTGTGTGTCCGCCTCTTTGTGAGATCCATGGAAACTGCTCCTCAAAATTATAAACTGACGTTGAACAATACCAAAAGATCGGTCTAGTCATGAAAGATCGTACCGCAGTTTTCTTATACCGAGTTGTTGATGAGAGCTCTTAGACAGCAGGAGTGCAAGTCGAAGAGAAAACTCATCCGCCGTCTCTTGTCATTGGAGCTTTTCGATGTCGAACCTCACTTGGGTTTGTTGACGAGCGTTCTTTGCTACATAGAAGCGGATGCGTTTTTTTTTCTGCTACCCGATAGAACTCCGAGTTGTGATTCGGTTCGCGAAGCGTACACACTTAATGAACATTGAAGACGTGTCATCTGTCTGTCTATCACACTGACTTTCTTGTGCTTTATTCTAATGCTACATACAAAAACAACAATCACAACTTTGACATTCAACGCGTAATCGTCGCGTAAAAACCAAACCCTAAAATTCCCCCCATCATAGCCAACAACCTATATGATGCAGAGGCATGAACGGTGGCACTAGAAGCTTTTGCGGATATGTTTTATGAACCTTTGTGAATTGACATTGTTCAGACGATGGAATCTTGTAAGAGAGAGAGAGAGAGCGCGGAAGAGGAAGATCTCTACTGCGTTGGAAGGGCCGGACCTCTTTCGAGCTGAGAAAGTGCAAGACCTCCAACGCGTTGGAAGATCAGATCAGGAGATGGATCTGGCTTCACTTGGTAACTCCGACTGATGAGTTGTTGGTAACGCGTAAACGGCGCTCGCGCTCTCAGCTCCGCTCATTGAACTTCAAGGCCATTTCGTTCTTTTGCGCCTACATACATACATTTATACTTATATGAGTGTGTATATATGTACGTGGGTAAGTATGTTGTTGACTGCTGTAAATTTTCCATAGCGTTGCTCGCCCCATCGCCAACGCCACCGCCTTCCCTTGAGTTGGGCACTTCGGTCCGCACCAACGCCTGCTTCCTTCTGTTTACGTATGATGATACCTTGAGCTTGACTATCTCTCCTGCGCGTTGCGCATTGCGTTATATGCGTGTTATTTTTAGTCGCCGTAACAGCTTTTTCGTTTTTTTTTTGTTTTTCGCCTTTTTCACTTTTCCTTTGGTTGAGTGTATTTTTTCTTTTTATTTCATTTTTTTTCTTCCTCCACTTTTCGCCTGCTATCCTCCCAACAAAAAGGTTAATGTGGACATATACATATTTATGTGTATGTGTGTATGCATGTATATATATATATATTAATACACATCAGCTTTATATGCTGTTGTCCAGTTCACTGCTGCTTCTTCTTCTTCTTTTATTTCAGCCCATTCCAACTTAACGCCGCCAACATTGTGCGCTCTAAACACAAAAACTCGTCGTCGCCATCGTCGACCGACCGTGCAAGTGTTTATACATATGTACATATGCATGAACGTACTTATACTATATGCCTGTTTATATATACATACATACATACGTATGTATGTATGCAAGTTTATAGATTCATACCGCTCATAGCCTCGCGCGCCTGCTTTTCCCTGCCTGCCATACGCCTATTCGCGTTCAAATCATTCGTTTCGTCTTGTTGGACTTTTGTTTTTGTACTCGTTACGTTGGTAGTCGCCGAGCCAGCACAAACGTTAAAGTCAACGTCAAAGCCAACGCCAGCTCCAACGCCGTTAACGTTTTGGACGTCGCGTTGTTGCCGTTGCCGTTGCTTTCTCTCTGGATACACCACTGTCGTACACACATATGCACACACACACATTTAATTATACAGCCATCGATCGGTGTGCTGTTCTTGTCGTCGACCGCCGCTGCACTATGATTTCATATTCTCCAACCTCCATGCAAGCAGTTAGTCAGCCAGCCATGCAGCCTGTTATTTGAATCGCTTTATGCCGCGCTTGTCTCTCATGCTATAAACAGCACGTAGGTATACCTATAGGTACGAGTATATGCATGTGTGTGTATGTCTGTGTATAAACACAAACAACCATATCGCTTTCTTTGAACCCGTCTCACCTCACTTTATCCTCCTTCCTGTGCGTTAAGTCAGCCCAACTGTTTTGCCCTCACTAAATGTATGTATGTATGTATGTATGTGCATATAGTTCTTGATATTGTGTTTTATAGCGCAGCACTGTATAGTAC